CCCATGTACACCATGCTAAATCTGGCAGTGCATATGAGCCCATCCCCCTTCTAAATGGCCTGCATTATTGTTGGAGCTACTTTGGGGTGTTTTTGCTACTTTGTCTGTTTACACAAACTGAACATGCACATTGGAAACAAATATATATATATATTATTTATTTATTTTTAAAAAAATTGTTATACATTACATTTCATCAGTCTGCTCCTCCTTTCATAAACAGGCAGGCATCCACCATTGCAGGATTACCCATAATCGTCCATGGAAGTCTGTCTTACTTGATTCCACTACAATCCCTTGTGGTAAAGGGAAAAATAAGGACAAACCTACATTAACGCACACACACGCTTGCTCTCTGTCTCTTGCATACACACATAATTGGCTTGTTAATGCTGTTTATTTACTTAACCTTCACAGAGCTGACAACTTTCTTAGTGAACTGATTTTCAGCGCGTCACCATTATAAACCTACAGGCATGTGTATCGATGCAGAAAACATGCATGCCAAATGCATCAAACCTGTAACATAAAACAACGGTCTCGCCACGCACAAGTGATGTTGTGCTGAACTCGAAAGCTTTGATCGATAGCATATCGACTGCTGCCGCTGTATTATATGTCATCTGTGTCACCCTTGAATCAAATGCCAGTCAATGTTTATTAGGCTGCACGCCACCAGAGACACAACACCCTTGTAATGAGCTTATCCTCTAAACTGAACAACTGCTTGACATTGGTGGTGTTCAGTACAGAGCGACTTAATTGAGAAGATGATACTGTTGGATAAACACACAGCTTGGAAGACAAAAAAGCAGAAATTGACCCGTTCCTGAGCACATGCAACAAATTACAAAGTCAGCTTAATGAACGATCTATGCTAACACCTCGTTTTTTTCATCGCTCTCTCTGTGAAACAATAAATACCTGCCATCTTGCAGACCACACACATGCACACATGCTCTGTCAGTGTGATGTTGTGGAAGAGAAAAATTCAGTCTGTCTAAATAGAATGGGTCGCGGGTGAGAGAAAAAGAAATGGGCAAGTGGAAGACAGATGCAAGTCAAGAATCGGCAGCTCGTGGCTTTTTTTGGAACTTTCAGGAGCAGCATATTCCCAGAAAGTAATCCTGGGAATGCTTTTTTTCTGGATCAGCTGCTAACTGACTCAACCGACTCGTCCTGTCCCTCCCACTGCATCCTTTCATCCCTTGTACAACACACATGAGCAAGCCTAAACCTTAATCACATTAACTAGCTGGGCAGCTGCTGGTGCTTTTTTCCCCTCTTCTGTGACGTATAAAACCAGCTGCAGGGTGTAAAAGGGTTGAAGGAGCGGGTGGGGTTGAGATTATATGATGAGGTCATCATCTCCTGTGATTTATGGTTTCAGCACGTGATGGGTGGGACGCTGGCTTCTGCACAAATGCTCCAGCTGATCTTTGAAGACTGACCATGGGAAAATGAGATTAAAAGTATTAATTGAAAAATATTATCCTATAAATCTGGGCCAATATCATGTAATTCTACAATGCTGGTACTAAATATAAGCTTGTTGCTGCCTCTTTTATCACCTCACCTCTTTCATACTTAAGTGCGGGCCGATATGTGATCTTACATTGATTTCGTTTGGCTTTTTTCATTGATTTTACAGCTCAGCAGTGGTTACTAATCTTCCAGAGTGATGCCTTTGTCAATCTGATTATCAGGATTAATGTTTAAGTGTGTGAGACTGATATATGGTGACCGATTGCAGCATGGTACAGCTTTACACTGTGATTTTTAAGCCATGTCTTAGCATCTGACCTTCCTCTGTTCTGTTTCTTTTAGGTGTTTTCTTTTAGAGCCACAGCCAGTTTAAACTTTTCACCGATATATCTGTTTTTTGGGTTTTTTTCTTATTGTTCACTCTGATAATGTGGCTTACCGCTAATCCAAGAATCTCACTGAAACAAGAGTTTAAATCGTCCGATTGTGGCTGTAATATTTGTTTTTAGGTTAAGCTGTGGCTCCTTTTCTCAGAAATGGAATTACTGAAAATCATTTCTGAGTAACCGCCTGACTTTGTGTTCTCTCTACAGGGCTGGAATTGATGATGTGGAGACAGATGTGGTAGAAATCGAAGCGAAGCTCGATAAGGTATGAATCCTTCTAACATGTGGACTGTGCTTCTCATTAAAAGATAAAGTCAGCTAATCCATAAGGGAAAAAAATCACATGTCCATTTCTTTCAGTGGTTAGAACACTTTAAACAGGACATTAGTGGAATTCATTGGCTTTGTTTGAATGCTAAACGCCACCAGATGGGGAGGTTTTCTATGAGTAGTACTTTAGAGTCTACGCTGTAATCAGTTTTCTGTATCGCTGTCTTTCTCGCTCTGCATGTCTGCAGTTCACACACTTGTTATTTAAATGTCAGAGCTATTTAAATAATGAAAACGCTGCAGACAGTTAATTAAATGCAGTGGGTTCATGCACCGAACAAGAGGCTGCCCGTTTACAGGGAGAAAAGACTGATTAATGCCAGCGAGGTTGCAAGTAGTAGAAAAGGCTCACATAGTGCCGTTTATTACATTAGTGTGCGCTGAATTTTCCTTTTTTTATACAACAATTTATGAGACATGAATTAAAGCACTTTACTTTATTCCATCTCATTTGTTGCTGTATCCTCACAACAAGAAGGTCCTGGGTTTGAATCCTCCCGCTGGCTGGGGCCTTTCTGTTTGGATTTTGCATGTTGTCTCCATGTCTGCCTGGGTACTCGCAGGGTACTCGGACTTCTCCCCACATAGCAAAGACGTGCTTGGATTAGGTTAACTGGAGATTCTAAATTAGCTGTAGGTGTGAGCGTAAACGTGAACGTGTCCAGGGTGTCACAGGGTGCCTACAAAGATGGGCTCCAGTCCACCTGTGACTATGAATTGGTCAAGCAGAAGAAAATGGATGGATGGATCAATCTGCCCTGAAGTGCAATTTGCTTGAACACAGGAGGTGTTAATTTTAAACCTGCCATAGAGACCAAAACTAGGAGGTATATTTATTTTATACATATATTACAGTTCATACTCATGCAGCATTTCATAGTACTATCAGTCAGGTAGCTATATTTGTTTGCCAGAATGAGCCCAGCAAACATACACTATTTGGACAAAAGTACTGGGCCGCACCTCTTAATCTCTGAATTCAGATGTTTTCGGTTCTATTGCCACATGTGTCTACAATCAATCAGCTAGCCAATGAAAGAATGGGACTTTCACTGTATTTGAGTGTGGTACTGTAATAGGAGGCAACCACTGGAACAAGTCAATTTTAAAGTATTTTCCCTCCTTGATATCCCACAATCAGTTGTAAGTGGTATTACTTGCAAAGTTGATCTCTTTAGGAATGACAGACACTCAAAAAAGTGGCAGAACACATCAACTTACAGGGTAGGTCCACCGAGCGTGAGGCATAAAAGGTGCCAGCTCTCTTTTGACTCGAGATCTGCAGAGTTCAAACCTCCTCTGGCATCAACATCAGCACAAACACTGATGTTAATACCAAACAGGTATCAGTACTTTTCTCCACATAGTATATAACAGAATAATTTAGAAAAAGAAGCTTAAGGTAACTCCATAAGTGTAGGCATTCGCATCAGCATCACTGTGATCAGGCTCTGTTCTCTATGGTATTAGTGAAAGGTTAAAGGTTTAAAGGCAAATGGAACGACTGGAATAAATTTTATAGCTGTATCAAACCTAATTAGCTACAGAGATAACTCTGGATGGACCGGATGACTGTCTTGAGGAAGTGAGCTGAAAGGCTTCTTCAGATAAACTAATAGACGTGGAAGTCAAAGAGAATTTAGAGTGGGAGACAGTGTTACTGCAGCTTCTTTCTTCTTCTCTCTGAAGGTGAATCTGAGACAGTTCTTCAAACATCAAACAGCCTGCAGACATAATGAAATGTGGATTAACAAACCTCAGTGTGAACACCTAAGTTTGTTTAAATAATAAAGTGGTTAGATGGTTTTGACTTACTTAATATTAAAGTTCATCATTAAGGAGTCATGTGAATAGAGCCCCTCACTCTCTACACATATAAACATTCCTGCCACCAACTGATAATGCAGGACCTTATGAACTTTGAACTTTGAACTATCAACTCCAGTTCAGCCTCACTGAAAACTGAAAAGCGTCAGAGGAGACAGATTTCCACCAGGGAGGTTTGTTCTGTTCAGCAGGAGTCCTCCACCTGCCCTGAAGCTGCCTGTGGTGACAGCAAAGGCTTTCAGGACAGGACACGGACATGACTGATGAAAGCTGAATCTCTCTGACAAGTGTGAAAACATTTAGTGCTGTCCGTCGGCTAACTGGAATACTGAAATGTTGCTGTTATTGAGAGAACACTAACAGTACTCAGAAACATTTCTAATTAGTTAAAATACTAAAATTCACATTATTCATCTCATTGCTCAGCAATTCTGCAGTTACGCTGCAAATATACTGTTATTGTTTCGGTCAATTAACACAGCAAGGTCTGTCGTGTGGCACCAGATGTGGCATTTTGGCTCCAACCTATTTATTATATCCAGACACACAGCTTGTCCCTCTAATGGCCATCCTCAGACCCCTGGGGGATTCAGGCCTGCACTCAATGAGATCATATTCCCTACATCAACCAATTTGTTGACATATATGTTGTCAGACCAGCCTGGGAAGAGCAGCAGCATCGTGCTTCTTTGGATTTTCTACAGATTCCTAAAAATGCTGTTAAAATTTGGACTGCATTATGCATCTTAGAAAACATACTGTGTGAACATGAGTGTGAACATTTGGCAACTGATGGTTTTGATCCCAGCAGCCCGTTTTAGCAGCGTTCACGCGGCTGCAGCCCTTACTGTCAGCCACCCAGTAAACCACAGTCACATACAGACAACCTTGGGAACGCTTGCACCAAATGTGATAATTAAACGTTTACTACACTCTCTCTTAACCCCCAACCCCACCCCTTGCCAGCAGACACACACACACACACACATGTTGTGTTTCGGCATAAGTGCATTGGTAATGACAGTGTAACTTTCTGCACCTTATCATATTACTTGCAAAACGGGAAAGCAGTCACAGTGAAAGTCATGATGTGGCATTTAAAGGCATACATGCTTTTACTGTCTGCGCTTGTTAATTTACATTTATGTTTAGAATTTCAGTTTACCCTGACATGACTTTGGCTGCATACTATATTATACAATATACTATATTATTAAATTCTCAGTGTTGTGTATTGACTCCCAAAGCTTTTTAATACCTAAAGTCTGCTTATCAAGGTGCCTTGGCTCTGAGGTTAGTCACATTTCTATGAAATTTGGTACTTGAATACATTTGTCTTTAGAGATTCCCCTTCTAGTGCCAACTTAAACTTTAGTAAAAACATCCGTAAAAACATTAACGAGCAGTAAGTTTGCTAATTGCATCTGTCTTTATATTGCTTGCATTAAGCTTTTTTTTTTTTGCAACAATGTATATTTCAGATATTTCACAGGAAAATGTTTATTGCTTATTTTTTTCAGCAGTAGATTTAAATTGTCTCCAATTTGGTTATAATGCTTAGCAAAAAGGTGATCCAGCCATAAATAAACATTAACAATTTTTTTCCTTGAGGCACCTCAGAACGCCATGATGACCTCTTCATGCTGTGTAGTGCCATCAAGTGTGTTTTGCAAGAGCTTGCACTCTACTTTTGGAAAATATTGCAGTCACGCAACCTTGCATCTGTCAGTAGAGTTGCACAACACAGAGCTAATTAGCAAGTGTTTGAAATTTCCTCTATTTATTATGTACCAAGTTGTGAGTAAGTTGGTGTGTGGGATTTGGGATGCCGCTTTAATTATAGTTGTGCAATACAGTCAGTGGCCTTTGATCATCTTCTTCATTTCCATCTTTTCATTTGCTCATTTAGTTACTTTCTTAATAAATACATGCTTCTCAGTTGGATTCCTGACACAGCAGCTTCAGTAAGGCCTGCGCTGGCCTCCAAAATTAATATTATTCCAAATTCGAGCGTCCTCTCGCATTCAGCATGTGAGCAAAAGATTCTTATAGGCTTTGTTTGATTTACGTCATCATTTTGACTATTAATATCCTCACATCTCATTATGTAAAAAGTCTTTAAATAGACAGTGTTCTTGTTTTTGGGGCATTAAAGTGATGTTTTTACACCTCCCATTAGTTGGTGAAGCTATGCAGCGGGATGATCGAGGCCGGCAGGGCCTATGTCAGCGCTAACAAGCTCTTTGTTAACGGCATCAGAGACCTGTCCCAGCAGTGCAAGAAAGAGGAGATGATATCGGTGAGTAGAAGCAAGGATATCTTCAACACTGAGTTCAGATTCACTGAGTAATATTTGAGTGCCAGCTTCTTAGCAACTGACTTCTCCTCTGTCTTTGACTTGGACGTTCCTGCATGCATTCCTCCAGTTGTTGTGTGCATGGAAGAGGTGACCTGATTTGAACAGGAGATGTTTACATGCCTGCAAGCATATAGACCTGAAACTGACTTTATAGTTTTTTAGGAAGGCATTTGGTCTCTGTTTCCTGTGTAATGTGTACTCATGTATAGATAAGTTGAGAAAATCTTGTTATGTGAGAAAGATTTTGAGGTTCATATGGAAATCCATGCTTACACTGTGCACTCTACATCACAGGAATGCCTTGAAAAGTGTGGCGAAAGCCTCCAAGAGATGGTCAATTACCACACGGTAAGACACATCTGCACACACACGTGCACAGACACACTGTATGTTGTAGCCACAGGTGAGAGGTTGAGGTACAGCCCAGGTCTTCTGACATATTAACATCTTTCAGGCATGCAGTCCTCCTGGGCCTCCGTGCACAACCCTTACACACACACACAACACTTCAACTGTGAAATCACTCAATGACTTTGAATCTGTCCACACTGGCCAGTGATCATGTGTGTGTCTGATTCAAACCACATGCTGGACCAGATGTGTATTGCAGGTTAATGCATAAACACACACATGCACACTCACACACTCACAGGTTTTCCCCACATGACTCCAGAGTGATTTCTCCTCATGACTAAGTGTGATCTCGAAATTTCTCACTCTATGAAAGGTTTCTCACACTGCTGAGATGATGATGCAGGTTTAAAAAGCCCAAGGCAGAAAGAGATATTACAGCACTTTAAAGTAATCAGCAGTAATCATTAGGACATGACAATATAAGACAGTGTGTAATATTCTGAGATGTTCACTCAACTCCATGTTTATGCGTTATGCACGCATGCATGACAAAATTAGGAACAAAGGAGAGTATTGACAATGAAGGGAAGTGGGGGAAGAAAATAAACACAGAATAAAAAAGGAAGTGACAAAGAGACACAAATGTAAAAGATCTGAAGCTTTCTGTTTCTTATTCCACAGAGTGTGAGTTACCCCTTAGATAAATCTTCTTCAATTGCATGGTTCTGTTATGATCTCCAACTTCACCTTTTTAAAATCAAATCAAATCTCTGCTTATTACATAGGATCCATTAGCCACATCAGACCAATAATTTCCTCTTTTTTTTATAGACGCGGTGTACTCTTTTCCTTTCTATCCATTACACGTTATGTAATGTCTGCAGTCCTTGCTTATATTACATAGAGCACCAATTTTAAGAACGCTGTTTCTTTTCCGCTGCTCTTTCACACCATCTCAGTGCATCCTCTGTGAAGCCTTTTTTCTTGCTTTCCCTTCATTCACCCTTCTACAAGAGTGTTTGTTTAGCAGATTTTATGAATAAACAAGGGAAGGAAAAAATAAAGGATGAAGTCCTTTGCTAACTTACACTTCCCTGCATCTTATCTACTAACATAGTCCCACGGTTTGCTGTGCCGTCACCCTCATGGAGAAGCTTCAATTCCCTGAAATATGAGAAGAGGACCAACATCCATCTCTCTTACACATCCATCATGATGAGGATGATGTGAGGAAGAGACATGAGAATCAAGGAGATGTGTTAGCCTAATAAAAAGCAGCCTTAGTGTCTTTACTTAACCAGTCAGTGCCTGTTCCTAAGGCTTTTCAGCTGTCGAGCATAAACAAGGGCATTCAAAAGAAAAACTGATCTCTCAGTAAATTATATAATCAAATGTGTTTACATTCAAACATGGATCAGTCTCAGCAACAGATTAGGAAGCTTAAAAAAGTGAAACTGAGCAGATTTCTTTCTTTTTTTTTATTGTTGTTTGAGTACCTGTTGACAGCATTGTGCGATTTTCTATACTGTGATATATTTCTGTTGATGATCACTGTTCTTATTTGGCCACAAGCAAAAAAGAGCTTTGGCTTTCCATGAGTATATCCATGAGTGCTGACATTATGTAGGTTGGGCTGGGTCGAGCCCAAGGCATTATAATCAAGTGCAGGCCTGAGTGGAACATTTGGATTAGTTTCTATCAGATGTACAGAAATTGTTTTGGGTTTCATTTCTTTTCCATGAAACTTCAAATAACTTACACCCCGTTTTGGTCACTATTTTGCTCGACACAATTCAGTGTTGTGTCAGTGCAGTCTGATGACACATCATTTATTAAAGATTTTCTCAGGTAGTTTTCCATTTTCAGCATTTTAATGATGAATGCATGGTAGTACCTCCAAACAATCCCTGGTTCTGTCAAGGGCAGGAGACACAAATGCCCTTTGGGCTTCAGAAAGGGCATCCGGTGTACATCTGGACAAATCAAACATGCGCCCCCGCAGTGATGACCTCATGTTAATAAGGGAGCACGTGAAAGTAGCTTTCTTAATCATGAATCCATGGTGAGATATGTGTGAAAGGATTATACTTCATTTTATTGGGATTATGGGTTATTTCCTCACAATTTCTTAATGATTTATTTTAAATTGTTTATTAGTCACAGAGGGGAACTAGAGGATAATAGATTAATTTCAGTTTAGTTAGTTGAGCTGAGTTTAAGGTAAATATTCTCAAAATATCTCGTCATTCTTTATGCTTGTTATGTTAATTATATATAACAAATGTAATACTTTTCTACATTATCTGCTGACTAAAATAATGTAGTCATTTAATTGTGGCTATTTCTTGTTGCACTAATTAAACATTGATTGAAGTGTTTCCAGTGAAAGGAGACATGGGAGGAGTTGCAAAGTCTTTCCTCCTTATTTTAAGAATCCATTGCACAATACTTAAAAGACAGGCTCTGTGGGAAGTTAACACATGCTTATGAAGGAATAAAGCATTCCAACGCTCGACGTTGTCCACTTCAAATTTCCACACTGAGTGTGCTCTACATTTGCAGAATGACAAGCCACCTCAAGCAAAAAATCTGAGTCTCATCCGCCGTGTGTTATCAGGCCCTGCAGAGATGTCATGTGGTCGGAGGCTTACATGTACACTAAGCCCATAATCCTCAATGTGTATGCTTGCAAACTAGGGATTGCTATAGAAAGTTTAATCCATAGGATACCAAAAGTGATTGTTGTGTACACTGTCCGCATGCGTGTGATTATAAAGCAATCACAATTACTGTAAGTCTCTGCGTGAGCTTGTGTGCACGAGTGTTGCACAAAGATAAATCAACAAGGCACACGGTTTTCCTTAATATAGTCGAGGATAATATCAACAGCAGTGGCTGGAATATAAAAATTGAAACAAACTCACTTCCTATTGTGGAGAGAAGAGTTGGTTAAAATGAATGAGAAGTGGAGGGAAAAGAGGATGAGACAGTCAGGAAAGGGAAACCCATACTTAACAGGAAGTAAAATGTGGGCTCAAATATTGCTAAAAATCTACTGAGGCGGTAGCTGAGTGTGTTCACGTGTGTGCTCGCTTTTCTCATTTCCTTCAGCTCCTCTCTGCTTGTGGCTGAAGTAATCACATGAAAGGGATCATAATGCCATCTTGTGCCCAGATCGGAGAACTACAGATTTTCAGACGTATTCATTGCTTGCTCTTTAACTGCTGTGCACTGTATCTCACATGATATCTCTTCCTTCCGTCTGCTCGCAGATTTTGTTTGACCAGGCTCAGAGGTCCATCAAACAGCAGCTTCACACCTTCATTAAAGAGTGAGTATCACATCACATTTGAGTAGATTTAAGCACTTAAGAGAGGTGAGGACAAGTGAACAAGATGTTAAACCACTAGCTATATGAAAACTAGATGGCACGATGTCTGTTTTTATAAGTAACTTCATGTTTTAAGATTTCTATCTAGTCCCCTAATTGTTGTGTTAAATGTGCATTTTTGTACTCACATGCAGAAATCTCCCAGTAATAACAGAAATTAAGAATTTCGATCTCACCGTTTCTGATTTGGCAAAAAATGTGGGAATTCTTACCTTTGTGCTCCATGGTGCATGCACCAGGGATATACGGAAGTTCAAGGATACCAAGAAGCAGTTTGATCGAGTGCGTGAGGACATGGAGCTGGCGCAGGTGAAGAACGCGCAGGCACCCAGGAACAAGGTGCATGAGGCGGAGGAGGCGACGCAGGCTCTCATCCTCAGCCGCAAAGCTTTTCGGCACCTGGCCCTGGACTATGTGCTACAGGTGAGGCACACGGAACATAGACTCTACTTGTTATTACTAGTGTTTTCCAATAGGTGGCACTGTGAGTCAACTTCTGTTGAACCCATGCACGGACTCTTGATCTGCTCTCAGATCTCTCCTGTACATCTCAAACATGAAGTCTAAAATGTAGAATTTTCCTTTTCTCTTCGTTTCTGGCAGATTAATGTGCTTCAAGCCAAGAAGAAGTTTGAAATCCTGGATGCAGTGAGTGACTCGGATCCATCTGTATCGTCACATAATTATACATATACAGCACATATGTAGTGTGTCTTACTTTGTCATTTGACTTCCTTTGTCTGCTACAGATGCTGTCATTCATGCGAGCCCAGTATACTTTGTTCCAACAAGGCTTTAACATCTTGGATGAGATTGACCCCTATATGAAAAAACTGGCTGCACAGGTAAACAAAACAAGCAAACCCAAACCATAACAAAGAAACCATACCATGTGATTTCTAGTTTCATTGTCCTTTAATTTTACAAACATATTTTATTTTTCACTCACTGCTCCTGCTGCATATGTGATCTTGTCTTCTATGCAGCTAGATCAGCTGGTCATTGACTCGGCCGTGGAGAAGAGGGAGCTGGAGCACAAACACGCCCTCATCCAGCAGAGAGTGAGACACCATCACAGCTCTTATCTTTGAGCCCACATTGCCATAACAGTTCATCCCTGTGTCGTTTTCTTCCACTAGGGCAACCTTACCGTCCACTTCTTATGCTTACTTTTCCCTCCACCAGTTATCATCAGTTGCCATCTCCATTTGAAAAACATGTTACAGCAGCCTGTCGTATGCTGCCAAATTAGATCACAATTCATTTCAGTTATATTTCAGATTATATAGTGCCAATTCATTATAGCGTCAAGGTGCTTTATATTGTAAAGTAAAGACAATATCAAACAGAACCCCAACAATCACACAATCCCCTTTGAGCACGCACTTGGCAGCAGTGGGAGGGAAAAACCTCTTTTTAATAGGAACTAGAAGCAGGCTCAGGGATCACAATCTGAATCCCCTCGTTGATGTTCTTCCTTCATCATCGTAATAATGTTGGTCCAGCAACACCACGAATAACCTAAATTCAGCTAAGAACCAATATATCTTCATAATATATTTATTCTACTGTATAAATTAATAAAGAAAACACCTGAAATACTCACCATGAAATGTTTCTCGTTCCAGAAGAGAGTTTTGTATGAACAGATTTATAGAAATTTCCACATTGCAAAGCTATGACATCATAAACATTATTGGTCAGCTGCACTGTTGATCCTGGACCAGCATCATTATGATGAAGTAGGAGCAACACCAGCACAGGGATATTAGATACACCGACTCAGGGACGAGCAGCCATCCACCGAGACCGCTTGAGGGTGATGAGACAAAAAACAAACTACTGGAGAGAGATCATTCGTAATGATGCTAATAGATCAGAATACAAAATAAACAGATGGCGTGGAGGCTCTACATCATCTGTATTTTCATAAATACTAAAGCTTAGCCTTTTCACGACTATTTCCAGCTTCTCTTTTTGCAGCCACTGCACAGGTCTGTGCAGATTCTCCTGTAGTAGCATAGGAGGCCTTGCACTGATAGTGAAATCTGAAATGCTCATCAGATATTGTCTATGCTGACCAGAATGTTAGATATGTTTCCTTAAAGGTTGCTGAAAGGAATTTCTTTTTGTCATTTAGCATGACAGTCACCTCCTAATTCAGTAGAAGTTCAGTAAAACACCGGAGTTAAAAGTGGTATGTAACTGGCAGCATTAAAATAACAAAGCGAATCAGATCTTACAGAGACCACAGATGCCTTCATGAGGAAAACAAAGCCTTGAACTATTTATGTTTGTTTAGTAAATGCCACTGTCCTGTTTACTGTCTAAGGTTTGCGAGACACTGATAGACGGCATTCTGCGTTTTGCGTTCAGGGTTACAGTAAGAACAAGTCCCCTAAACATGCATGGCCCACTCTGCTTGAAGAAAAGCAACTCTTTAACCATCCCCATCCCCCCAGTAGCCACACACATGCACAGATGCATAAGAAAAATCATCCATCTGTTGCCAGAAGAAATGCCAAAAGCATGCCTGTTTTTCTGCCAGAGGCCCTTCCCTCCGACCAATTTAGTTGCCCAGGGAAGGCATCCTGCCAGACTCGACGAACAGCTTTGTGCATGGATTAATGACCTTTCAGCAACTCGTCCTTTTTAATCCATAAAACGTGCATTGAATTGTGCCACTGGGCTTCATTTCTGATGGTTTTAGAAAAATAACGCTTCACGTGTAACATGCTGTAGTTCTTTTAATCAGGAACAGCTGTTTTATGTGTGTATTTTTCAGGAGCTCTCTGATGTCGCTCGCTTGTGACACCATCAGTTGCACATATTTATTCTTATTTAGTTTGTTCTGGTGAAATTAACGCAGTCATGTTCCTCCTCTAATGCATTTCTTCCCCCTCTCTCACTCTCTCTCTTCACTGTGTCCTTGCTTGGCCTCTTGCTCACAGACTCTGATGCAGGTGAGTTTGTTTTTTGTTTTTTTTCTCTCTCTCTGTACCTTACCCTTGGCTTACTGGTTAAAATGAACCACATGTATGTTAGATTTTTTTTTGATTTGGGTTTTAAAAGAAAAAAGTGTGTGGAACATTGCAGTAATGGACGGTTCAAGAAACACAGACCTGCTTTGCAACTGTTAGCCCGTATTTTGACCTGGCCTGTTTGGCTCTAGGTGTCAGGTTTCTTGTGTCGACTGGTATAGGTTTTCAGCTGATCCTTGAAGTTTGTACTCTAGCTCTCAAGGCCACATTGTCTGGAAATTAAAAATAAAATGAAAGTAATCTCACTTTCCTGAAAACCTGTAAATTTTCCTGCCCCAGAAGATCTTTGTCTACCAGTCATTGTGTATGTGTAGCAGTGGTAGTAGTTGTTTCACTAGCTCGACTGATGCATAAATCAGTGTGCCTTTTTGTAAGCATAAAGCGAGACTGTGTTTGCGTGGGAGAGACGTTAACATCAGTATTTGTCTGAAGGCGCTGACGCGTGTCACACTGATGTGCCCTTCTTGAAATTTCTAGCACAGAATTGCTCTTAAACAGTTTTTATAAGAGTGTAAGACTCTAAAATAAGTCACCAAAACAACACAGATTATTATATTCAATTGTTAAATAAATCATTACAGTCTGTGTGTAAAAATATCGAAGCAGGGGTGGTGATGATCTGATGATCAAACATCTGTCTATCACCAACACAGTGCCAGTGCCAGCACTGTTTTTTGTTTTTTGGAGCCAGCTCTGCCTTTTTGGTGTCTTTGCAGAACCAATCCTCATTCTGACAGGTCAGAAAACCAAAAGTTACAACTGCCAGCTTACAGCCAAAGTCAACAGATGGCATTAAGATGCACAGCCGGGTCTTGAATGTGAAGGCAAGCAATGGAAATAGATTACAAAAAGATGAAGAGAGATAAAAAAGTGAAAGATCCAGACAGCAGGGCGAGACAGATGACGGAGGCTGTCTCTCTCAAAGAGGGAAAAACTCAAAGCTCTTTCAAATCAGATGTCTGGTCTTTCTCAGGAAGTGCTTTTATTAAGAAAAAGACCTGAAGTAACATGAAGACAGAAAAAGCATCACTGCATCAAGAGATTAAAGAGAAAACGCTGCCACGAGCCATTTAAAAAAAAAAATTCCACTGAACACTGTCTGTTGTTTCTGATATTCCTTCCATATGCAAATGTAGTAGTGTGGGAAGGGGCGCTATGAGACGGCAGAAGCTGTGAATTATAGATGCAATGCATTCTTTATTAAGAGTAACTTCAGCACTCAGGGTAAAAATAAGACCGATTCATGGAAGTAGTTAAGCCCGCCTGCTTTATTTGCAGAGAAGTTAATAAGGGATGAGCACAGATAAATATATTAGTGTGGGGTTATCTGAAAGGGGCATTGTTGGCATTAGGATGAAGCAGAAACAGTAATCAGGTGATGACTGAGAAACCATTTTAGCCATTGCATACTTACACAGTGGGTTCTTCTTCTTTACCTCACGCTTCTTTGATTGCCCCGGCGGCTCCCTCCCCATCTCAGCCCGTCCTCCTGCACAGATCACACGCTCCCTCGCGCCTTTCTTTCACAGCAGCTCTTTTTTGTGTGTGTGCAGAACATCATTGTGGCTCCCTGGGGAACCAGGGCCTCAACTCTCTCCTCCTTCATTGTCACCACTTTTAACTGCACAACATTTTTAAATCAAGCAAATGCAAATACACCAGAAAAAAACTAGGGTGTTAATACTAAACATTTCCTTAACCGCCTTTATCAATAAATTGCCCAAACTATATCCATTTGTATTGCTTTGATTACACGCATGTTTGCTTGCAGCGTATTAGGATGAGGTATTTTTTCGTAATAGTTTTCTGTTGACTGGTGACAACTGCCGAGGTGTCCCTGAGGTGTTGTTTCAGCTCAGTGTGCGTTGCGTGTCCGTGGTGTGATGGGTTATTACATAACATGAAGATGATTGCCTGGAATGTTATTCACTATATGCAAATTATCACATGCAGTTTACCTCCAATACCTCCAAATGTATGGAAATGTTTCAACATGTCTTACATAGCCTTACTGGTATGTTGCCAAAATTGCATGTTCAGGGTCTCTTTTGTTATGCAGCCTCCTGTTCCTTTAGGCTACTTGTGCACTGCATTCTTGAACAGTCCTGGCTAATTGAAGGTTGTAAGACAGGAGGGGACATAAATATTTGTATAAAGCTACGAATTATTCTGTGTGTTAGAATTAAGGGCTTCCTTTTGACTCATAACAGCTTAGACTTGTGACAGCTGCAGTGCTTCCAAACAAAAAGTGCTTTTAGGGGGAAAAAAGAGCTGTGTTGTTATTGTTATTGCACATCTTCAGTTTGTATAGCGACTGCTCAGGCTTGGCACCTTTAAAATCTTTTTTTGTAAAGACTTCTTTGTAGGAATTGTTGTTAGACAGGTGCCGTTCTGCTCCAGTGGGTGCCTTATTAGAGGGCATTACCTGGAATTCACTATATGCAAATACTTGTATTTGTAATATACATATACATATGTATATTATGGAACTGGTTCAACATGTCTCATACAGCCTCACTGATATGTTTTGGGCCCACTGTTTGACTCAGTGCCATTATGCAGCTCACTGCGTCTTTGGGCTACTTGTGCGCTACGTCCTTGCATATTACCCATTATCCTCAGCACATTTCCTGTTGTTTTATGATTTAAAACTAAATGCAAAAGCTGATGAATGAGCTCTTTTTAGTCTTCAAAGAGACACGTGGAGTACCGTACAAAGTCTGACCAGCACAGGCCCATGGGCTCAGTGTCCTCCTAAGTCATGCTGGGTGCCACAATTGCTACAGAATCACTAAACTACTGTGAATCAGATAATAAAACTACTGTGAATGTAATAATAAAACTGAGCTTGCACTGCAATAACTTATCAGTGATTCAATTCAGTTTATACTGTAAGGTAAAAACCCTAAAATATTAGAAAGAACAATCACACATTCCCCATGAGCAAGTACTTGGCGACCTTGGGAAGGAAAAGCTCCCTTTTAGCAGGAAGAAATCACCGATGGAACCACAGGAGCAGGGACTGGTTGGGTGTGAGAGGAAAGAGAAGAGCACAGAGGGAGGCAGCACAAAAGGCAAACTACTGGAGAGTCAGAGTTTAAGAATTGCTAATGATTAAATGCAGTAGTGAAAAGACAGAGTGACCAAGTGCATCATGGGAAGCCCCCAGCAGCAGAAGCTTATGTGTGTTTAAGTTTTTCATTACTAAATTGTATCAATTAGTGTAACTTATAATTGAAGCGAATCAGTAGAATTCAGCTGCGGGGCTCACAGTGACTTAATTGGGCAGTTTGGCTCAGTGGCGCTATGCAGCCTCCAGCGCCTTTGGGCTAGTCGCTGCATTCTTGCGCGGTCCCGGCTGATTTAAGGTGGGAAGAGGGTGCTCCGGGCTGGTGTTTGGGGAGCAATAATGTCAGCTTGATTAAGCAGGAAAAAGTTTTAGAGCTGCAGACAGATGGAAAGCTGACTCCCACAGAAGACGCTCGGGCGGGGGTGAAAGGGCAGCCTTAAATCGCGGGTGGGGCGGGGATGAGGTATGGCTACGTTTAGGGCCTCACATGCAGCAGGAAAATGAAAAGTTTGATCTTCAGCAGGCGCTGCAGGGGTCACCCCCGCGGGGCGCGAGGACACGGTGACAGCTGTATGCTAATGTGCGCCCGCGCCGGGTCCACGCGGCCGAAGGAGCGGCACGAGCGTGTCGCTGTTCCTCTTTGACAGTGTGTGTCTGGACTCGCGTGAGGAGCACATTTGTCTCCTTTATCGTCATTTATTTATGAATTTAAGCTTTTATTTTCCTGTTGACATCGTAATGCTGCTGGATGTCAGTGTGATAAAGATGAAGATACTTGGCATGCTGAGCTACACGCTGGTGAGCTTTTATTTATTTAACCTGAAGTTTTGATGAGAGCTTCTGTTCGACTCTTGTACGCTGTGTTCCCTTTTCCATTGGTGAACAGACAACAGATTTAAAAGTTTAAAATGCAACAATTAGCTGCATGAGGGAAAACTGGAGTTAAGGGAAATGCCAACACGGGTGTTCCTCCAAATGTTCTTCTGTCTTTTTTTTCTGTAAAGCGCCCAGTTGGAGAGCCTACAACTAGCCTACTGCTCTCCAGCAAATGTTGCGCATAAGTGGCTCTTGAATCACTTGGAAACGCCTCCAGGTGTTTGGCTGGCGGAGAACCAAGCTGTTGTACCGCGTCACATCATGTTTTTGCTTTCTAGGGCCTGCATGTTTTGGAAGAATTGTTTCTGAAGAATTTTGTGTTATTATAGTACCTCCGTGTCACATGGCAGTTCACCTACTTATCTTATGTCTGAATCCGTTCGTTTCAATGAATGGGAGGTGACTTTGTGGCAAGGAATCAGTGAAAAGGCTTTTATGCTTTTAACAAAGCTAAAGGAAAGTGGAAAATTACAGGGTTTCCCTGAGTAGAAAGTTTGTGTGCCTACTAGTGTCCCATATGTTTAGTACTCCCTCAGATCAAAGTGTCACCTAAGATAAGCAAACCTGAGCCTCAGCTCTCATTTCACAATCTGTGTGCTTTTGTTCTTCACTTCGCTGACCAGGTGGCATCTGACTTTAGAGACCCTTCTTGGCTAATCTTAGATATACAAATAGGTACAAAAGGTTTAGCTGAATGGTCAAGAAATCCTGACACAATCTTTAAATGTAAACTAATCGTGTTGTAGAGAGGACACTGATTATTGAGGAGGCACAGCTATTGTATGAGCCCCCGATAAGGTTACGCAGACATTTGTTGTGGACTTTACACTGATTGTTTCACACAAATAATTACTTCATATGTTCTCTTCGCAGGATTTTTCCTATGATGACCCTAAGCTGGAATTCAATGTGGATGCACCCAATGGTGTGGTTATGGAGGGCTACCTCTTTAAGAGGGCCAGCAATGCATTCAAGACCTGGAATAGGTAAACTGGAAAGTTACGATATATAACAAAATAGAATCGAGGTTAGCTTACAAATCAGCCATAACCTGTTCATATGGAAAATACACTAATGTGACAAAATGGGGGTAAAAAGCTCATCTTTCCAACTTTATTGCCTGTGAGCTCTCAGATTTCTATGTAGAATAACTGAAGAAGGAATGTGCTTTGTTAAGCTCTACTAAGTTAGTTGATTTCATTCCATTGGTTCAGTACTGAAAGTAGACTTCAGCATTTGAGTCAGCCTATCTCTGTCACTCTAACAGTCTGATTTCATACCTTCAACCCCCTCCAGGCGGTGGTTTTCTATACAAAACAGCCAGCTGGTCTACCAAAAGAAACTCAAGGTACAGTCTAATTTTGTAAATGTAAATCTACCGTTTTGGGGTCCTTATGCTAAGATTTTGTCACCACTCTAGCTAACCTACACAGTTTAGAGTTCTGAATTCTATTTGCCACCATTTGTATAATAGCAGGTCAACCAATGTCTTGTCTTTCCTGTCGATCCTGTCACTAAGCTTTGTTTTTTTTGGCACTCCCCTTTTTCAATGGCAGGATTCTTTGACAGTGGTTGTTGAGGATTTGAGGTTGTGCTCAGTCAAACCATGCGAAGATAATGAGAGGCGGTTCTGCTTTGAGGTGGTTTCACCCACTAAGTAAGTGTGTGTATTTCACTCCAGAATAAGCTCAACTTTTTCTTTTTTTTTCAGATTGGGACAGACTTTAGCTAAAATATTAAACAGATCAAGATGTTTATAACTAGTTTTTCTAAACCTTTAGGAGCTGCATGCTGCAGGCTGAGTCCGAGAAGCTGAGGCAGGCATGGATCCAGGCCGTCCAGGCAAGCATCGCTTCTGCTTACAAGGACATCACCGACAACTATTACATCGAGGTGAAAACAAACACATAACCACATACAATAACACTTACACAATCCTGTAATGCAAGCCTTTATTTTTCCTTAAATTTTATCAAGTCTCCATCGCTAACTTGTAACTCCATCTTCACAGCGATTGGACCGGACTGCCTCACCCTCCACCAGCAGCATTGACTCCGCCAGTGAACCCAGAGAGAGAGGAGAGAGGGCTGATAAGGGAGTTCGGGGAGGAGGAGAGAGCCTCCTCCAGCGAGTGCAGAGCCTGCCAGGCAATGAGCTGTGCAGTGACTGTGGCCAAACAGCTCCCTGCTGGGCCTCTATCAACCTGGGAGTGCTGCTCTGCATTGAGTGCTCAGGGATCCACAGGTGACTGTACACTAAGGGCTGCAGTTATTGTGCAACAATCACACAGACCCTGTGGACTGTAAATCTTTTAAAGACCCCGAAATACGTGATGTAGGAGGCAGTCAAAATTAACAAGAAGTGAGCCATTTATTTTGGCTGACTTCCAACAGGTGAAGCCACAAAGGGGAGCTCACGCAAGCAAACAAGCAGAATACACAGACAGCATGACAAAGAACATAGATGAGACTAAGGCTATAAGTAAACAGAAATTCAAACATATAATGAAGGTCTAAAAAGAAATTAGGAGCTCAGAAGTATACTAACACAATCTAAATGATAGTCATCAAAACAAGACCAAAACCCATGATAGTCATGACAGATTGACCCCATCCTCATTCCCCTGCTAGGTTGCATTCACACAGCCCTCAATAACCTTATGCAGAGCATTACATTCATAACTTTTTTCTAGTTTGTGACTACATTGTAGAAGTGGTGACACACTTCTGCTCACATATTTATTTGATTACTTAACTTGTTATTGAGGAAGCGTTGGGCATGGGTGACAATCATACCACATGCATACGTGGTCAAATCAAACTGAATGCCTGCAGTGAACAAACCAGGCAAACAAACTGGACTTTAAACCTGCTTTGTCAGTTTGTTTTCTCTGTTGTCTCTGGTGAGTTTTTCCTGATTGCCTAACCTTTAAAATGAAACTGTCCTAGTTTAGTAAGGCTATTTACAAAAAAAAGATGTTCCTTTTCAGAGAAGAGAACATTACGTCACATATCTGTGTGACTGACATTTGCCCTGCTTCTGCTTGTTTTTAACACATGCCTGTTTAATCATCTGCATTCAAGCATTCCGTTACATTCACGTTCACACAAGTGTATCAGTTCTTTTTTGATATGTCAAACTTTCCATCATGTAGGCTTATCAGTCAAAACTGTATCCATAAAAAGGCTGGCTGCACTAGAATTAAAATTAAATAAATGTATATGTAATATTAATAAGAAAAAAAGCACAAATCTATGGTTTTTCATACTGGATTTGTCACGTTTGTGTATATTTTAAGTAATAAGACAATACTGTTTTTACTCCAGGGTCTTATGAGCATAGCTTCAGACATCTGCCGCCCCAGGCAGTTTAAATAAAAGTAGCAAAAGTAAGATTGTGCTAAGATCTTCCGGTTGGATAAAAACTATTTTTAAACTCTCTTTTTCTTGTTTCTTTCAGGAGTTTAGGGGTCCATTTCTCTAAAGTGCGTTCACTGACGTTAGACTCGTGGGAGCCAGAATTACTTAAGGTGCGCCTTCTTAACGCTTTGCCTACAGCTCATCTTCTCTCTGCCATGTTTTCCCCCCCCAGCAGAGTTACATGTCTTATTCCTTTAGTTCATTGCTAATGCAATTTTAATTAGCCCTTTTAAAAAAAATGTTCACTTTCTGTGTTGTCTCTCTCATCTTATATTTAGCTGATGTGTGAATTGGGGAATACTGTGATCAACCAGATTTATGAGGGATCCTGTGAAGAACTCGGAGCAAAAAAACCAGGCCCCTCCAGTTCAAGGTCAGTTTCTATCCAGCAGAGTAATTTTTCCAAGACTCTAAAGATACCTTTTACCTTCTTTCTTATGGTCATTTACCTCCAGACAGGAGAAAGAGGCCTGGATCAAATCTAAATACGTGGAGAAACGCTTCCTGAAGAAGATGAGTGGCAGCGAAGCGCTCGTGCAAGGTGAAAGGAAGTCCCGCCCTTGGACAGTGAAGAAATGCCAGCGACACAGCAGCTCTGTTCGGGCACCCAACAAGGCTCGTAGGAAATATCACCGATATGAACCCGGCAGCGCCTCGCCGGCAAACCTCTCAGCAGGTCAGTGTGGGGACTTGTGATGTGGTGATAGAACCAAACACACTGTGAAGCCCAGACTGAGCTCTTGTTCTGATCTTTTATTCTCCTGCAGCAGCTGCAGCAAAGTTTCGCCGGGACTCACTGTTCTGTCCAGATGAGTTGGACTCATTATTTTCCTACTTTGACACTGGCTCTGGTCCTCGCAGTAAGTCCACTACACAATGTGTTGATACAGATACAGTGCATTGTTATTGTAGACATTAGAGAAGATTTTAGGTAAAGGCTCCACAGTGAAACAAAATAACTCAAACTGAAGTTCTTATAGCAGTTTTCCACATATTTGTGATTTCCTGAGCAATCCAACCGATAACGTGTCTTTATGTAATGCAGTTTGTGCTAAGTAATGATTAACGTGTCCGTGGCTTGGCAATGCTTGGCCCTGCAGGTCTCAGTAGCGACAGCGGCCTGGGAGGAAGTACTGACGGGAGCACAGACGTCCTGGCCTTTGGCTCAGTGGTGGACAGTGTAACAGAGGAAGGTACGTGTGCTTGTGGGCTGTGTGCCACCAGTGTAAGTAGCTACAATTTAAATTAAATTGTGTTACATGTACTTATATTGTCGCTCATTCTCATGTTAAATTATTCACACACAGAAGAGGAATCAGAGGAGTCCTCCAGTGGTGAGGTAGAAATTGAACAGGAAGTATCCTCAGACCCTGAAGACCCAAGAGAACTCCACCCTGGCGCGCTCCTATACCGATCCTCCCGACTCCACAACTTGCCGCTCATGGCGGAGGCTTTGGCACACGGTGCTGACGTACACGCCGCTTGCGAGGAAGAGGAGGGAAAAACGCCACTCATTCAGGCTGTGATAGGGGTGAGACACTCTGTGATAAACATGTGTGGGTGTTTTGGTTTGGATAAAGTGATGTGGATGTAAATGAATAATTTCATTTATTAAATTTAGTTTATCTGTTTAATTGTTAAGTGACTTCAGACCAGTGCCCTTGATGTTAAATGTCATGAAGGTGGTGGAGAAACTGGTTCTTGCCAGCTTTGCTTGCAGGTGACACATGCTCTCCACCCTTTTAAGCCAGTTTCTGTTTAGGGTGGATATCTACATGCTGCTGCATGTCTCTCCCACCTGGATGGTATGGATTGTACTATTGGCATTATGAGAGAATTGTGGGGTTTTGGGGGGGGTTCCCTCCACATCTTTAATACCATCCAACCACTTCTAAGTGAGAAGCTGCTCAGAATGGGTGTCACCACTTCTACTGTTCTGTCAGAGTGGCTTCAGTTTGCACAGCTGGTGTGGTGGTTAGTAATACTCAGGCATCACAGGGGACAGTCCTGTCTCCATTCCTGTTTACTTTGTTCCCCGCAGGTTTCTAGTACAACAGTGAAACATGCCACATGCAGGAGCTTTCTGACACTGCAGTAGTTAGAAATCACCTCCTCCTTCTCAATGTTAGCAAGACAAAAGAAATGGTGTTTGACTTCCGGAGGAAAGAAAAATTGTAACTAGGCCCATTAACATCATGGGTGGAGAGTTGATTCACATTATTGGCCAGAATCTGGAGGGCATTTGAGTCATCAGCTCTCCTCCACACTACAGAGGCAGCACAGCTCCTTCTCCCTTAGACTTATTTTTTATTTGTGTTGTTTTTGTTTTTTATCACTTTTGGGTGTGTGTGTATATATAGTGCAAACTTTCAATCTCACAATATAAGACCCTCACTATGCGGCAGTGGCACTTTTACTATGTTGTGTATTTATTATAGATCGTGCTTTTATTGTAATTTTTTTATCCCGCTGCTGTAACACAATACTTTCTCTGTTGGGATAAAGAAAATCTTTTTATCTGGACTGTCTACATTAAAAAAACAAGAGACTCTCCACGTAAATGTATCGTCTGCCATTATAAACACTGTAGACTCAAAATTCTCCATCTGTCTCTTTGTTAGGGCTCCTTGATAGCTTGTGAGTTCTTGCTACAGAATGGGGCCGATGTGAACCAGAGGGACATGAGAGGCAGAGGCCCACTGCACCATGCAACCGACTTGGGGCACACTGGGTAAGAGAGACATAGAAGTAATAAGCTGTGTCTGATAATCATTGTGTTCTAGCCTGTGTGTAATGTCATGAAATGTGGAAATTATTAGGTAAAAGCTACTTTCAGCTGCTCCCTTCCCACAAAGTGGTTACCACAGCAGGTGGCTCCCCGTGTTTGAGTTTTGCGCCAGACGTAGTCCCAAAGGGAATTTATGTCTCCAGCTAGAATTGAACCAGCAGCCTTTTCTCTTGCCAGGCGAATGTGTAAACCATTGTTGGTACACCTAATATTAATGTACCAACAGCAGTGAGTACCTTTTTGTTTTGAATGTAATCTTTCCCTAGAACTAAGCTGCCCAACCAGGTTTGATAATCCTGTTATTCTTTGACACTCCATGTTGTTTTAACCAGGAAAAACTACAGGAAGTGTCACTGTAAAAAAACAAACAAAAAAAAAAACACACACACACACACACAAAACGTCTTCCTCTGCAATCTACAATCCCACGTGAAACTTAACTCATCGCTTTAAAGTATTTGAAGTATTCACATGTGAAACTGCTTAAACTGGACCTATACGTTCAGACTAAAGTATGGAGTACAGAGATAAACAAATGATGAAAGGAATCAGTGAATACCACATCAGTAAGTCATCATGTGTGCATTCCACAAAATCTGCCATGTCACTATTGCTATTGTGGACCATATTTTATTTTTTGACTCTGCTAGGGTGGCATTAAAAATAATCCTTCTTTATTGTACTGCCTGAAACAAGCTGTTATAGCTTCTCTTCTTTTAAGCCAAGCTTCTTGTCATTGGTTACCCTTAATAAACAGATGTTTTGAACAGCAAATAGGTGGAGATATTCCTAACATGATGTGCTTGACATGATCAAAATTGGGATATCCACTCTATGATACCATTCAGAGCCTTTGGTGATGTCTAATATAAGAATC